GCAGCAGCAGCAGCAGCAGCAGCAGCAGGGGTGCAGCAGCAGCCGCGAGTTGCTGCGCGTCAGTGGAAGTTCGTGCTGGACACGTTTCAGCAGCGCAGCATTTTGTGTCTGGAAGCAGGAGAGAATGTTCTTGTTGCTGCTCACACTTCCGCAGGCAAAACTGTTGTTGCAGAATATGCTGTTGCAATGGCGCTGCGGGACAAACAAAGAGTCGTCTACACCAGCCCCATCAAGGTCTGCTGCTGCTGCTGCTGCTGCTGCTGCTGCTGCTGCTGCTGCTGCTGGCGTGTTGTTTGTGGTGCTGCTGATGCTGCTGCTGCTGATGCTGGGGGTGGTGGTGGTGGTGGTCCGTTGTTGTTTGTGGTGCTGTTGCTGCTGCTGCTGCTGTTGCTGCTGCTGCTGTTGCTGTTGCTGCTGCTGTTGCTGCTGCTGCTGTTGCTGATGACGCCAATGCCTTTGCTCCCGCCGTGGCGACGGCAGTGCCTTCGCTGCTGCCGTGGTGACGGCAGCGCCTCTGCTGCTGCCTAAGCGGACGACTGCTGCTGCTGCTGCTGCTGCTGCTGCTGCTGCAGGCTCTGTCGAACCAGAAGTACAGGGACTTGTGCGAAATCTTCGGAACGGAAAGTGTGGGGCTGCTGACCGGCGATGTGTCTGTACAGCCCGAGGCCTCCATCGTGGTGATGACAACAGAAATCCTCAGAAGCATGTTGTACAGGGGATCCGTCCTTGTTCGAGAAGTCTGCTGCTGCTGCTGCTGCTGCTGCTGCTGTTTGAGCTGCCACTGCTGCTGCTGCTGCTGCTGCTGTTTGAGCTGCCACTGCTGCTGCTGCTGCTGCTGTAACTGTTTCTGCGGATCCGGAGAGTGCCGCACGTGCTTCCTGGGCGTTCAAGCATCTTCCGCTTCCGCCGCCGCTGCCGCTGCTGCTGCTGCTGCTGCTGCTGCTGAGCGACCACTACTGCTGCTGCTGCTGCAACTGTTTCTGCCTCTACAAAGCGTGCCGCACGTGCTGCCCTGTCTTCAAGACCCTCCCGCTGCTCCTGCCGCTGCCGCTGCTGCCGCCGCTGCCCCGCCGCTGCTGCTGCTGCTGCTGCTGCTGCTGCTGCTGCAGGTGCGCTGGGTGGTGTACGACGAGATTCACTACATGCGGGACCGCGAGCGCGGCGTGGTGTGGGAGGAGAGCATTATTTTGCTGCCAGCAGGCTGCCGGCTGGTGTTCTTGTCCGCAACAGTTCCCAACGGGAAGCAGTTTGCAAGTTGGGTTGCTGCGCTGAAGCAGCAGCCCTGCCACGTGCTGTACACGGAGAAGCGCCCCACGCCGCTGCAGCACTACATGTACCCGCAGGGGGGGGAGGGGGTGTACTTGGTGATGGACGAGCACAAGGTGTTTCGCGAAGACAGCTTCTTGCGCGCGGTTGCTGCGCTGCAGCACGCCGCGGAGCAGCAGCAGCAGCAGCAGCAGCAGCGGCGCAGGCGCAGGAGCCGCAGCGGCATTCAGAAGATCCTCCTCATGTGCGAAATGAGGAACTACACTCCTGTTATTGTCTTTTGCTTCTCGAAGCGGGAGTGCGAGGCCAACGCCCAGGCGCTCATCGGCAGGGGCGACAGCAGCAGCAGCAGCAGCAGCAACGGCAGCAGCAGCAGCGCCAACTTCAGCCTCACCAGCGAAGAGGAACGCAAATTCATCGCAGAAATCTTCCAAAATGCCGTCAACACGCTCGACGAGGAAGACCGACAACTCCCACAGGTCCAGTCCTGCTGCTGCTGCTGCTGCTGCTGCTGCTGCTGCTGCTGCTGCTGCTGCTGCTGCTGTGGTGCATTTGTAGCGGTCGGGGCCGCCTCTGGGCGGGCGTGCGCCGGCCGAAGGTTTGCGCGTGGTTTAGGGTTTAGGGTTTAGGGTTTAGGCTTTGTTCTTTGGGGTTCAGGGCTTGCTGTGAGGACCTCCCATGCACGGCTTACGGGCGAAGGTTTAGGGTTTAGGGTTTAGGGATTAGGGATTAGGGTTTGTTGCTGCTGGGGTTTGCAGATCAAGTCTATCCTGCCGCTGCTGCTGCGAGGCATTGGCATTCACCACGGGGGTCTGCTGCCTTTTGTGAGGGAATTAATTGAAATTCTTTTTCAGGTAAAACAAACAAGAAATTAAAATAAATAATTAAAATAAATAATTAAAATAAATAATTAAAATTAATAATTAGAATTAGTAATTAAAATTAATAATTAAAATTAATAATTAAAATTAATAATTAAAATTAATTTAATCTTAAAAGTTCAAAACAACCTAAGACTCAACGGCAGCAAAGCAGCTGACTGGGGCTCTCGGGGCCCCAGCATTTGCTCTGCGACTTGCTGCTGCTGTTTCTGCTACTGTTGCTGCTGTTGCTGCTGCCCTCCCATCTGCTTCTGCGATTCCTGCTTCGTGCTGCTGCTTTGCTCTGTGCCTCTACTGCTTCCACCGCTGCTGCTGCAGCTACTGCTGGCTGCTGCTGCTGCGCTACTTGCTGCTGCTGCGTTCGTTTTGGCTGCTGCTGTGTCCGTTTTTGCTGCTGCTTCGTCGATTTTTCTGCTGCCGCACCTCTCGCGCCGCTGCTGCTGCAGAGTGCCCCCCGCTGCTGCTGCTGCTGCTGCTGCTGCTCCAGGAGTCGCTGATTCGGGTGCTGTTCAGCACTGAGACCTTCAGCATGGGAGTCAACATGCCCGCCAAGACTGTTGTCTTCACCGCAATTCGCAAATGGGACGGAGAGGCCTACAGACTCATCAACGGCGGAGAGTACATCCAGATGGCCGGCAGGGCCGGCAGGAGGGGCCTCGATGACAGAGGTCAGCCTGCTGCTGCTGCTGCTGCTGATGCTGCTGCTGCTGCTGGTGATGATGCTGCTGTTGCTGTTGCTGCTGCTGCTGCTGATGATGGTGCTGCTGATGATGATGGTGCTGATACTGCTGCTTCTGCTGCTGCTGCTGATTGTGATTGGTGCTGCTGCTGCTGCTGCTGGTGATGCCATTGCTGCTGTTGCTGCTGCTGTCGGCTTGGAATCTGGAGCTCTTCTTCCAAGCGACACTCCATTACATCCTACAAATCAGGGTTTAGGGTTTAGGGTTTAGGGTTTGGGGTGGGTGGCGCGCGTAGGCATTGCGATAATAATGTTTGACGAGCAGGTGGACCCTGAGGAGGCAAAGGGTTTGTTCATGGGAGGCGCAGCTCCTTTAATTTCAACTTTCCATTTGGGATTTAATATGCTTTTGAATTTATTTCGAATTGAAGATGCAGATCCGGCCTACATGATATCCCGCAGCTTTGCAAATGTCCGTGCTGCTACAGCAAGAAACTTGAACTGCACGGAAAGCTCGCGAGTTTCCCCGTTTCCTCACAAATTGAACTTTCAAATATGCAATTTAATCACTTAAATATTCTATTTTGTCATTTAAATCCTCTTTTTAATCATTTAAATCAATTTGCAATCCATAGAGTGGCCTGCTGCTGCACGGTTGGGCGTTGGCGGGTGCAGCTCCTGCTGCTGCTGCTGCTGCTGCTGTTTGCTGCTCTGCTTGGGGCGGGCGCCGAGTCGCTGCCGCTGCTGTTGCTGCTGCGGTTCGTGACGCTGCAGTTCCAGCAGCACGGGCGCTCTTTGAAGCTGCAGCAGGAGCTGCAGCAGCTGCAGCAGCAGCTGCGAGCAGCAACAGACATTCGCTCTCTTGTGACTCTTCCAGAAGGCGAAAAAGAGCCGGACTTCGACGTGGAAGAAGTGCGCAGCTGAGCCCCACAGAAGCGCGCCAGCTAAACCCTAAACCCTAAACCCTAAACCCTAAACAATAAGCTCTAAACCCTATATGCAAGGGGCTAAGGTTTCGGCAGCAAGACCGGCCGCGCAGCTGGATAGGGTAGGCTTGCGCGGCGGCGCAGTGGTCTGTTGCTGCAGCTGCTGCTGCTGCCGCGGCTGCTGCAGCTGGGGCTGGCTGCTGCTGGCGCTGCTGCTCGTCTCAGGCAATAAGCAGCTTCTACGGACGGAAGCACGAGCTGCTGCAGCAGGGGCGGCTGCTGCGCTCCATTGCAATGCAGCCGCAGCAGCTGGCGCGCTTCCTGCAGCCGGGGCGGCTTGTGGGGCTGCTGGAGGACGACGGCACTGAGTGGGGCTGGGCCACTTGCGTGCAGAAGGTTTGCTGCTGCACTTCGCACTTGCTGCTGCTCCAGTTCCACTTTGCTGCAGTCCTAGTTGCTGCTGCTGCACTTCGCACTTGCTGCTGCTGCACTTCGTGGTTGCTGCAGTTCCGCTTTGCTGCACTCTTCAGTTGCTGCTGCTGCACTTCGCGTTTGCTGCAGTTCCAGTTTGCTGCACCTACCTGTTTGCTGCACTCTTCAGTTTGCTGCCCTCTTCAATTTGCTGCAGTTTTCAATTTGCTGCACTTTTTACGATTTGCTGCACTTTTTTCGATTTGCTGCACTTTTCAGTTTGCTGCACTTTTCAATTTGCTGCAGCTTCTAGTAGCAGCAGCACTGAAGTTTCATGCAAAAATTGCTGCTGCTGCTCCGGGGTGTACAGACACCCGCGCCATAGGTGCTTCCTGGCGGGTTGCATGCGGCGTTTTTGGCGCTGCTGCTGCGCCCGAGTGGCTGGGGTTTAGGGATTAGGGTTTAGGGTTTAGGGTTTAGGGTTTAGGGTTTAGGGATTATTGCGTGTTTTGCAGCTTCAAAAACGAAAAGTTCCCTCCACAAATGCCCACGAAGGACCCACTGAACAGCTGCTGGTCCACTGCCTCGTTAGCTGCGACCCTCTCTCTGTGCAGCCCCTCGAGCCCAAGGGGGCCCCCGGGGGCCCCCCAGCAAAGGGGGCCCCCGGGGGGCCCCCAGAAAAGGGGGCCCCTGGGGGGGCCCCCGCACCCATTCGGCCCCACAAGCCCCGCCCGGCGCCTCCTGTGGGAGAAGAGGGCAAGGATTACGTGCTGGAGGTGAGGGCCCCGCTGCTGCTGCTGTTGCTGCTGTTATTCCTGCTGCTGCTATTGTTGGTGCTGCTCTTACTGGTGCTGCTGCTCCTGTTGGTGCTGCTGCTGTTAATGGTGCTGCTGCGGCTATCGCTGCTGCTGTTCCTTGCGCAGCAACTGCCCTGCTGCAGCTGCGTTTTTTGTTGCTGCTGTGCTCTTCCTGCCGCTGCTGCTGCTGTTCACGCCGGCGCCGCTACTATCGCTGCGTTTCTTATCGCTGCTGCTGCTGCTGCTGCTGCTGCTGCTGCAGGTGGTGCCGTTCAGCGTGTCATGCGTGGCGCGAGTCAGCAAATGCAAAATGTCGCTGCCAGCAGGAGGAGATGTGGATTCTGCAGATGCTCGAAGAAGCATTAATTTCCAGCTGCAGATAATTCAGGAAAAATTCAAGGTGAGAGACTTGCTGCTTCCAAAACCTGCTGCTGCTGCTGCTGCTGCTGGCCCCTGCCGCCCACCCAGGGAGCCCCTGGGGGCCCCTCTTGGGGCCCCAACCTCTGGTGGCGGGGGGCCCTTGGGGCTGCGCTGCAGCAGTTCCATGACTTCTCTGGAGCTGCTGTTGCTGCTGTTGCTGCTGCTGCTGCTGCTGCTGCTAAAGAGCTGCTGCTGAGAGAGCCCCGAGCTCCAAGGGGGCGAGGCGCCTGTTGCCCCCAGGCTACTGCACTGAGAGGCTTGTGCTGCAGCTGCTGCGATGCGCGAAAAAGTGCTTCTGCTTATTGCTGCTGCTGCTGCTGTCGCTGCTGTTGCTGCTGCTGCTGCAGGACTGCGGCGGCTTGCCGTTGCTGGATCCCGTGGTGGACATGAAAGTGGACCATCCGCAGCTGGCGGTGGGCTAGCTAGTCAGCTTAGTTTGCAGCTGCTGTAGCAGCTGCAGAAGCAGCAGCAGCTGCTGCAGCAGCAGTAGCAGCTGCAGCAGCAGCAGCTGCAGCAGCAGCAGCTGCAACAGTGCTGCTGCTTGTATCAGGGCTCGCTGCGTGCAGCTCGGCGCGAGGCGAAGGCTTCAAGTTGAGGGTTTAGGGTTTAGGGTTTAGGGTTTGTGTGCAGGAGCTGGTGAGCCGGATGGCAGCTTCTGAAGCAGCTCTCAAAGAAAACCCTTTCAATGGCCATCCGCTTTGCGCCCTTTACTACGCAGCGCAGCACAAACGCATGCAAATGCAGACAAGGCTGCGGGAGATTCAGGCGGAGCTCGAAATGCAGAAAAAAACCGCCATCAAGGTAGATTTCCTTCGACTTTTCGCGAAAATAACAAATTCAAGAGCTTTTAAGTCCAAAATGTTCAAATTTTGTTCTCAATTTCATGCAAAAGACAGATTAAACAGCTTTAAAGCATGAAGGAATCCGAGTTTCATTCACAATTTCACACAGATGGCAAATTAGAATGCTTCAGTCACAATTTCACGGAAAAGGCATTTTGTGCAGCTTTTAAGTCTCAAGAAGTTCAATATTTATTCATTTTTTCACCACAATTGAAGAGTTATTATGCAAAAAGTTAAATATATTCTTTATTCAAGCGAAAAGGATAAATTGTGCAGCTTTCAAGTCTTAAGGAATTCAATATGTTCAACAGTTAGACTCGAGACCCAAATGATTCGGCTTTCCAGTCCCAAAAGGTTGTATATATTCAATTTCTCAGTTTCAAAAAGTTGAATTTATTCACCATTTCAGTGCAGCAGCGAATTTTGCAGCTTTGAAGTCTTAAGGAGTTCAAATAATTCAGATTTCCATTTCGAAGATGTTCAATAAAATTATTAAATTCAGGATCCAATTAATTCAGCTCTCCAGTTTCAAGGCTTTTGCAACATTTATTCAAGTTCAGAATTAAGTAATTCAGCTTTTGAATTTGAAAGCATTCAATTTATTCAATTAGACTCAAGAGTTAAGTAATTCATTATTTCAATTTGGAGGCGTTGAAGATATTCATTAAATTCGGTATTTAAATTCAACATGTAAATTCAAGAATTAATTAATTTAGTTTATTAATTTGAAAGCATTCAAGAATTGAATTTAAATTCAACACTTAAATTCAAGAATTGAATAGTTCAGCTTTTGAATTCGGCAGCCAAAGTGCAGCAGGAAAGCGGCGCTGGGCGAATGCTGTGTGGCGCTAGAGGCGTTTAAATGAATTTAAAATAAATAAAAGAATTCAGGATTTAAATAGTAAATTAAAATTCAAACTTTAATCAAAAGGAGCTTTTAGGCCATAGCAGATCTGCACTCAAGGTTTGCCTGCCGTTCACCTGCTGCTGCTTCTCCCCCTTTTCTAGTTCCATTCCCCTCTGCTGCTGCTGCACTGCTGCCATGCTGCTGCTGCTGCGCTGCTGCCGTGCTGCTGCTGCTGCTGCTGCGCTGCTGCTGCTGCAGGACTCGCTGCGGAGCATGCGCCGTGTGCTGCACCGGCTGGGCTTTCTGGAGGGGGAAGACGTGGTGACTTTGAAGGGGCGCGTGGCCTGCGAAGTGTCAACAGCAGATGAACTTCTTGCTTCTGAACTTTTGTTTTCAAATGCTCTCAAAGAGTTGACTCCTGAAGAGCTCTGCGCAGTCCTCAGCTGCCTCGTCTACCACGAGAAGCACGACGAGCCCGAGCCCACAGAGCCCAGGCTCCTGGCAGGTAACGCCGTCCCCAGCAGCAGCAGCAGCAGCAGCAGCAAAGATATTCGCGAAGGCGGAGTAGCCACTGGGAAGCGAAACAGAGAAAGAATCCGCAGCGAAGCCACACACCAGAAACATGCAGCTAACGGCGAACGCGAAAAGGTCAGGACTAAAGCCCCAGCAGCCGCCGCACTAGCACCGCTGCTGCTGCTGCTGCTGCTGCTGCAGGGGTGCAGAAAGTGCGGGAAGTGGCGCGTTCGATCGCGCGGGTGTTCGTGGAGTGCGGGTACGTGTGGGGCTCCGGGGCCGCGTCGGAGCAGCAGCAGCAGCAGCAGCAGCAGGAGGGCGGCTGGGCGCGGGGCGAGGCGCAGCAGCAGCAGCGGGAGGTGGAGGCTGTGGAGGCGTACGTGAACAACTTCAAGCCCGCGCTGGTGAGCCTCACCTACGGGTGGGCCACTGGTCACTCCTTTGCTGCTCTCAGCAGCACCACTGGTCTTTACGAAGGCACCATCATTCGCTGCATGCGCCGCCTCGAGGAGCTCCTCAGGCAACTTGCATGCGCGGCCAAGGCCATTGGCAACCCCGACCTCGAGGCCAAGTGCGTCGCCGCGATTCGCCACCTCCGCAGGGGCATCGTCTTCTCCTCTTCCCTCTACCTCTGAGCTGCTCCTGGCTAGCTAGCTGGCTAGCTGCTGGCTAGCTGCTGGCTAGCTGGCGAGCCGGCTAGCTGGCGAGCTGGCTGGCTAGGGAGCTGGCGAGCTAGCTAGCTGGCGAGCTCGCTGGCTGGCTAGCTGGGTTGCTGGCTAGCTGGCTAGCTAGCTGGGTTGCTGGCTGGCTGGGTTGCTGGCTAGCTGGCAAGCCAAGCAGCCAACGAGGCAGCTAGCTAGCTCGCCAGCTCGCTAGCCAAGCAGCTAGCCAGCGAGCTAGCTAGCTCGCTAGCTGGCCAGCCAAGCAGCTTGCTCCCCTGCTGGCTAGCCAAACAGCTAGCCAGCCATGGGGCTTCTCTGGCCAGTCAACTGGCCAGGCGGCTAGCGCGCCCATCAGCTAGTCTGCCAGCCAGACAGCTAGCTAGCTAGATGGCTGGCTAACCACTTAGCTATCCACCTAGCTAGCTAGCTAGCTAGCTATCTAGCCATCTAGCTAGTTAGCTAGCTGGTTAGCAGCTCGCGCAGCCTTTTTATGATGGTGAGCTGTTTGGGCTGTAGCGTTTCAGCTAGCTGGACTTATGATGTGTGGGAGTAGCTAGAGGGAGTAGCTAGCTACGAGCAACTTGTGCTGCGCTGCAGTGCTGCTGCTGCTGCGCTGCTGCTGCTGCGCTGCTGCTGCTGCGCTGCTGCTGCTTAATTTGCCCATTGGCCCTGCCTGCAAACTGCGGGTAACTTTAGTTGCTTTAAATGCATTAAAGCCTTGGCGGCACGAAGAGAAAAGGACACAGATTTGATTTGCTGCGGCTGTCTCTGTGAGCCGCTGCAGCAGCAGCAGCAGCAGCGAGGGCGGGTGCTGCTGCTGCTGCTGCAGCTGCTGCAGCTGCGTCGCTGTGGTCGCAACGGCAGCTTGAAAAACGGAGGAGAGCTTGACAACCAGAATTTAGTGCTTCGGCGGCGGCAGTCG